TAAAAAGCTAAAGTGGATAGAGAGAAATACTGTTAATTATAATCAATGTAATGAAACAAGGTATATGATTTGTTGAATGTATAACTGATGATGTGCCCTGTAAGCTTTCACTCAAATCCCCAATAAAAACCTTAAATTAAAAAAAAAAAAAAAAAGTAATGGAAAGAAAACCCACTCAACAAAAAAAAAAAAAAAAGCTTTTAGGGGGAAAAAAGATAGAATTAAGCAATATCCACTAATCTATATGTTAATTTGTTAATTTTGTGTGAGCTGAAACTTTTTTACAAATGGCTTAGTAGTATTGTTTACAGGAGAAAATGTTAAAATTGAGTCAAAGACCTTGATTTTTTTCTGCAAATCAATCCAAGACCATCATGATTTAATGTTAGTAGAATGCCTCCAGTCTCACTAGAACATGGTAAGAGAAGCTAAGTAGGTCTGTCTTATAAATTAGGGTAAAGTTTCTGCCTCTGTTCTTGGTCACTAACTTTGACACGTCAGGGCCCTGCTTGTTCTAAACTAAGTGGACCTTGGAATTTGGTTCCTCAGGGTGATTTCCTCCCACCCTCTGCTTTGATTCTGGAGATCAGAGAAAAATGCAATCCTCAGACAACCCCAGAAGGAACCAGGACAAGGAGCTTGTGTCCTCCTCTGTAACAGAGCTGGTTAAGTGGCTTTTTATTATAACTGCCTCACTAATAGGCACAGTGACAGAACAGTTAGCATCTAGCACTCTTCTGAGATTATAGTTCTTCAAAAGCAAGTCCACTTCTGTTCTCCCAGAATGAAGCCTCTAAGGCCCTATGTGGGCATTTGTATAAACATTGTAGACCTGTCTCTATATATTTGGATTGACTGTTCCCTCTCCTTATTCCACAGTCTTTGGTGTTCTTCTTCCATTTTTTCACAAAGGAAAATGACTAAAATCTTAAAACTTTATTCTGGAGCTCATCAAATACAGTTCAGGATTGATGCTCACAAACAGCTGTGCATAAAATTACAGAAATCGGCTACATTTTCTAGAAAAGGCCCAGGCATACAAAAGGAAGAGAAACAAAGAAGTGCCTGAATTACTGCAGTGTTTTAAGCACCTGTCCCCACGCCTCCTTGTAGTGACAGTGGCTGGCCCCAGGTAGATAGTCCTTTTAGCAAGGAGGGAAGGAATGCTTTCTGCCCCTGCCCCTGCCCCTGCCCTTCCCCCAGTGCTCAGTTGTAGGCCTTGTTGAACTCCTGGAGGGCCCAGCGTTTGTTCTCAGTTGCCTGTTTGAGTTGGGTGTACTCTTTCACCAGCCTGTCAAACTCCTCCCCGAGGACCTCATACGTGTTCAGTATCTGTCGAGACTTCTCCATGTCTTGTTCTTGTAGGCGAATGGCCCCCTCTAAACGATCCCTAGAGTCCAGGCACAGAAGGAACAACATTAGGATCTGGCTCCTCAGAAAGTACAGGAAGGGGAGCACGATGAAATGAACAAGTCTGGAAGAGCATGGGAAGCAGTTCTGAGTATCTGTCCCAGGCCCTTGGGAGTTCTCACCTAATAAGACGATGAACTTCCACTTTCTCAGCAGTGTAAGTGTCAGACAAAATCTTTAGCTCCTCCATTCTGACGAAGAGTCAGAGAAAGAAAGAAATGTCAAACTGATGATCTCTGACAGCAGCAGAGTTAGAATGGAACACAGTACCTGTCCATGGTCAAGTAACAGGTTACACAGTGATGGGATAAACAAGGTCACTCTGAATCCTGGAGTAATTTATCTCACAGTAAAGCACCTATTACAGAAGGCTTTAAAAGAAAAGACTCAAGAATGTTGAAAGCTTCAGGGTAATCCAGAAACTAATACTGCTGTTTGCCATTTACTGAATGGCCACAAGTAACATGGATGGTAGAAAGGAAAGAGAGATGAGGGTGAGGATTTGGGGTGGGAGGGTGGGTAGCAGAATCCCTCAAATCTACAGGGAGAGTCTCTTAGTTCACCTCAGCTTAAGGACCATGGCACTGCACTTGATTTCCAGGTACTGGGCATTGATGCGGTCTAGTTCAGACTGGGTCTTCAGCCGGTGCTCTTGAAGAAGTCTCTGCAGCAAGGCAAGGCACCGGAGAAGCACCTGAGCCCCCAAGGGGCAGGAGGAAGAGGGAGTAAACAGAAGACTGGAAAAAGGAGGGCAAGGGAATCCCTGGGTGGAACAAATGCTTAATGTACTCAGCTGTCAACCAAAAGGTTGGCAATCCGAGGCCACCCAGCAACCCCTTGGAAAAGTTCACCAATGAAAATCTTATGGAGTACAGTTCCACTCTGACGTACACGGGGTCACTATGAGTCACAATTTTGACTTCATGACAACTGGTTAATATTCAAAGAGTCCTTACAAATCAAGAAATTAAACAACTCCCCAAAATAAAAATATGAGAAAGGAGGTCAAGCTAAAGGCTGTCCCTCTGATCTGACAAACCTGGGAGTAGGTGGCACTCTGCTTCTCCAGCAGCACTCTCCGCTCCTTCTGCTGCCTCTTGGTGTCCTGGCACTGCTGCTTCTCACTCACCAGGACCTCTGCTAGTTTCCACATCTTTGCTGCCTTCAGGGTTTCACTGTCTGAATCTGAGCAAAGACAGAAAACTGAACAGGAAATTCCTAATCTCCACTGCCCCCTCAAAGGCCATTTTTCAGTGCCTTGTACTATATCTGGAGTCCTGGGGTGGTGCTATAGGATAATGCAAATGACCACAAGGTCAGTTTGCGCCACAGGGACAGCGGTTCAAACCCACTAGCCACTCCGCAGAAACCTTATACAGAGTAACTATGAATAGGAACCGACTCGATAGCACTTAATAACGACTACACTATACCTAGGAGCCCTGGTGATATGGTGGCTGCTAACCAAAAGGAGCTCTGGTAGTGTAGTGGTTACAAATCGGGCTGTGAACCGCAAGGTTAGCAGTTCGAAACTACCAGATGCTTCGTGAGAGAAAGATGAGGCTTTCTGGTCCCGTAAAGATTTATAGCCTTGGAAACCTGGTTCAGGGTTGCTATGGGTCGGAACCGACTCAACGTCACTTAACAAAAACAACAACCAAAGAATAGATGGTTTGAGCACAGCAGCCTCTTCGTGGCGGAAAGCTGTGACACTCTACCACCATGAAGAAGACTTAGTCTTGGAGACACTATGTGGGCAGTTCTACTCCACTCTCTAGGGTTGCCATGAGTTGGAATCGACTCAATGGCAGTGGTCTTGTTTTTTATCCTACATATAACTCTATAAATTCTGCCTTCTTTCAGGTTAAAAAACGGTCCCTTTCTGGCTTGGGGGTAGGAGGGAATAGGGAGTTATTACCCAAGGTATGCTAAATCTATTTGGGATGATGAAAAACTCTTGGAAATAATGGTGATGGTAATACAATGTGGAAAATATAATTAATGTCACTGAATTGTTTGGTTAAATTGACAAAACGGCTATGTATATTTTAACATGTTGTTGCTTTTAAGTGCCATTGAGTCAGTTCCAACTCATAGTAACCCTGTATAGGGTTTCCAAGGAGCAGGTGGTAGGTTTGTACTGCTAACTGTAAGGTTCGCAGTCCTGTGCTTATCCCACAGTGCCACACCATAGTAATATTTTATTTTTGGTAAAAGGTCCCTTTCTCAAAACGAGGAACTGTGGGGACACAGTTGTTAAGCGCTCAGCTGCTAAACCAGAAAGCCAGTGGTTTGAATCCACCAGCTGCTCTACCAGAGAAGGTAAAGACTATACAGTTTGGGGAACCACATGGGGCCATTCTACTGTGTTCTTTAAGGTTGCTATGTGTCAGAATCGACTTGATAGCAATGGGTTAATTTTGGGTTTCTCAAAATTAAATTTTATTTTGTCTCACCTTTAATATCAGATTTGTCCCTTAACTCTTAAGTCAGAGAAGTAAACCAAGGAGAGCACCTATGAGGCTTTCTGTGCCATCTTGATCCTCCAGCGAAGGAAAAATTCCTCCTTCCCAGCAGCAGGAGGACACTCCTTGCCAAGTAAGAGGAGCCCTTACAAAATTCCACAGGGAAACAAACAAATGTATCTCCAGTGCTTCCCAGATTTTATCCCAAATCAAAAATTCAAAATTGCAGGTGGGAAGCCCTGGAGGCCAACCCTGAGCAGCACACAGAGAGCCAGCACTTACCGGAACTGGGGTCATGGTAGCAGAGAAGGGTGAAACACTTCTTCTTGAGCTGCTCCTCAACCTCTAGCTGGAGCCGAGCTCTCATCCACAGAAAGTCCTCCAGCCACACAAGGAAAAAGACAGAGGCAAACAGAAATCAGAACTAGCATGATTAAACCAGCAAATAGCTAGGGGTAACCACCTCAATAAGAACCAAAGAAAATGCATGAAGAGCATCAAGGAGACTCATTTACCTTTCAAGTTAACAAAGATTAAAATGACTGTCAAGATCCCATGGGGATGAAAAGATGGGGAGCTAGGAGCACTGGGAACCCCTTTCTGGAGTTTGGTAACGTGTACCAACAGGTTTTATGTGTCCGTGCTCTGACTCAGTGATCCTGCTGCGAGCACTAACACCAGGGAGACTGTCATACAAGGACAAAGCCACATATCAACTAGCATGTTCCTATCAGTGTGATATCTAACAGCAAACTTTGAAAACAACCTTAATGTCCATCAATTTTGCTGTTGTTAAGTGCCATTGAGTCAGTTCCAACTCATAGCAACCCTGTATACGGTTTCTAAGAAGCAGACTCGCATACTTCGAACATATTGTCAGGAGGGACCAGTCACTGGAGAAGGATATCATGTTGGTTAAGGTGGAGGGTCAGAGAAAAAGAGGAAGACACCCAGCGAGATGGATTGGCAAAGTGGCAGCATCAATGGGCTCAAGCGTGGCAAAAATAGTGAGGTTGGCCCAGGATCAGGCAGTGTTTCATTCTGTTGTGCATAGGGTCGCTATGAGTTGGTACCGATTCAATGACACCTAACAACAACAACAAGGAGCAGATGACCATGCAGTGCAAACCGACCTTGAGATCCTGTGCTTATCCTATAGCACCACTCCAGGACTTCATGCCCATCAATAAGGTGAGACACATTATGCTACATCCATACAGTGATATCCTAGCAGTGATCAAAAGTGATGATATAAGAACATTAAGCACCTATGTGCCTACACACTGTGCTAAGAGTATCTTGGGGAGCATCATCTTATTTACATTTATTTATTGACTTTAAAAAATGCCCAAAATAGATTAAGCGAAAACAAATTATACACTCTATGCAAGCAGAGAGCATATAATACCATTTCAGTCAAGCTGTATATAATTCTAACTGTATTTATTTCAAGATATAAGATTTTAGCTTTTACTTTCTTCCATGTAACATTTTTCTTACTCAGGTTTGACCACCATGAATGTGTGTTATCATTTTTATAAAAACAATAAATCTTAACAACAAAAAATGTATTTTTTTTTTTTAGCTATGGGAAAAATTAAGCCATTTTGTTTCTTTGGTCCCAATATCTGCCTGCTCCAACCTCTGAGGGTGGCATGAGCTCCAGCAGATCCGCTTTCTCCACTCCTAACAATGACGGCATCTCCTTCTCCTGGCTGGGACCTAAGAGCTGTGTCAATTCAGTCACCAGTAGCCGTTGTTCAAGGGTCTCATGAAACTAGAAATCAGAATAAAATAATAAAAGGGGGTTATTACAAAATTCTCCCACTCTACCTCCACTACCCTCACAAATTCTTCATCTATTTTTAAAGTCCTCAAACACGTCATCCATTTCATATAACTCTTATGTTGCAAATGCCTCTTCCTTTTCAATCTTTAAAACAACTCTTGACAACAAACACACCCACTCTTCCCATAATTACCAGTTCACTTCTTTTTGATAACCTATTATTCAAAGCTCCTGTTTCCCCCAGATCACATGACCAGACAAAGTAACAATTGGCCTGATCATTTCTATAGCTGGTAACCAGCCCCACACCTCATCTCTTCTGTCTCACCTTTCTGTCCTCAGAAGTTAAATTTGTGTTTTGTGTCTTCACATAGTAGTCCACAAGTAGTTCTTGAATGACCCTCTGCAGAATCTCCGACCTCAACCATGCTGCCTTATGCAACTGAACTTCTTTCCATGCCTAGGAAAACAAAAAACACCCCAGTTAGGAAACTCTCTGAGGAAGCTCCTTCTCATCCCTTTCCCAGAGCCTTTACCTGAGCCTGTTCCTTTGCCAAGGTGAGGCTTAAGCCACTTTCATCGACATGCTGTGCAAGACTCAGCAGCAACTTGCTAAAGTATGGGTTCTGTAATAGGTCCTCTTCATTCAGGTTACAAGGAGGAAGCTGTCTACTGCATACTTGGACAGACAAAAAGGCAGTCAAGGTATGGGCTCTTGCTTCATATAATTGTGCATAATTCAATTTATACATGCTTCCAAAACACCTAAGTTTTTTATAAAGATTTCTCAATCTAATGAAATACATTTTTTACATATCCACAAATAAACAAAGCAATACTCAATGTAACCAGTGTCTAGGTAACACATTGTTGATGTTAGTTGCTATTGAGTTGTTAGTTGCTATTGAGTTGGCTCCAAGTCATGGTGACTTTGTATATAAGAGAACAAAACACTGCCCAATCCTGTGCCATCTTCATGATTTTTGGAATGTTTGAGTCCATCGTTACAGCAACTGATTCCCAACTCATCTTCTGGCACTGAATCAGATAATATTCTGTTGCAATCTAAAGGGTTTTCCTCAACTAAGTAAATTGTCAGGTCTTTCTTCTTAGTCTTTTTATACTCCACTGAAACCTGTCCATTATTAGTGACCCTGCTGGTATTTGAAATATTGGTGGCAAAGCTCCCAGCATCATGTTGTAGTTGTTGTTAAATGCTGACCCATAGCGATGCTGTATAGGGTTTCCAAAGAGCAGCTGACTTTGCGGTTGAAACTGACCTTGCAGTCCAGCGCATTATCCTGCAGCACCACATCAGGACTCCAGCATTTTACCACAGTAAGGCAAAATGACAGCTGGGTGTGGCTATGTAATATACAAGAATATAAATCACAAATTAGAGCATGGATCTCTAATTGTGTGCTGTCGAGTCAATTCCAAGTCATAGTGACAATATGACAGAGTAGGGCTGCCCCAGCGGTTTCCTAGGTGATAATCATTATGCAAGCAAGTTGCCAGGTCTTTTCTTCTGTGGAAACTTAACTGAAGCTAGCAACGTAGTGCTTAACCACTATGCCACAATGGCATAAATAAGATTACGATCTTAGAAAATAGAAATGTAAAATTAAGATCTTAGACAAACAGAATTGAGAATAAGGGACCATATAGTGGGAATTATCAAAATAACCGAAACAGCTCATTCACGAAGAGTAACTGCAGTTCATGAGGAATAAAAAAATAAAAAACATGTAAAAATGTGAAGTTCCCATTTTGAATGTATTCTCTAGTCACAGAAGCAAGACTAAGGCAGTGTACTATTGTAAGCAAATATTATAACCAAATTTTTACTATTATAAGTGGAATTGAGTAGCCCATGTGGATTCAGTAGAATAGCAGTCTATGCATGAGAAAAGAGAAATCATCGGAATCCTCTGGCTATTCCATTTCAGAGGGGTTTCCTTTCCATCTCCTTTGCTGGAGTGTGCTGTTTTACTCCTACTTACCAAACACTCAAATTTTCATTTTTTGGCTCATCATAACCAATATATATATATATATATTTTTAAATGTTTACTGTGAATTATGTGATAGTTTACATGGGAGATCATTAGCTTTACATTCATCCCATCATCTCCAAAATTCTTTTGAAAAATAATAAACATCTGTTTTTCTTTCCTAGGGTACAGAAAAGAGGGTGGTAATATTTCCGTGGTACCTTTCTCACCTTCCATGTGGGAGACCTGAGTTCAGTTCCTGGCCAATGTACCTTATGCATAGCCACCAACTGTGCATTGTTGGAGGCTTGCATGCTGAGGTGAAACTTCTAGACTAAGATGAACTAGAAAAAAGGCCTGGTGACCTATTTCTGAAAACCCTATGGATCGCAATGCTTTGATCAGCAATCATGGGGTGGTCTAGGACCGGGAACATTTTGTTCCATTGTACATGGGGTCTCCATGAGTTGGAGGCTAACTTGATGGCAACTAACAACAAGATATTAAAGGATTCAATATGGAAATGGTCACAATATAAAAGATTAAAGATCTTAAAGAATTCAAAATAAAGGATTCAAATATAGAAGGATTTAAAACATGGAAGGAACTTAGATTTTAAAGAAGAAAATATGAAAAGATTTAAGATAGAGATAAAAAGGAAGCCATTTAGAAATTCGCTACTAGACGCTTTTGTCTAACATATGTTTGCTACTGCAATATGGGGGAATCTTGAGTTTACTGTTCACTGCACAAGAAGATACTAAACAGTATGGGAGAATCTTGAGTTTACTGTTCACTGCACAAGAAGATACTAAATAGTAGTTGGCCCAATGTTTACCAAAACAGAATTCAAGAATCTTCCTGATTTAGCTTTCTCAGAAACTTAGACTATAATGAACTATACTAGTGTAGTGAACATTATAAATCCTTTATGTATAGAGAGCAAGAACCTAAGTAAGGCCTCTCTGGAGAAATCATTAAACTTCTTGCTAATTGCTATCCTTACCTTGTTGGAGTACTTCCATCCCTTCTCTAGGTAAGCAGAAATCCCCAGATGCCATTTGATTTCCTTGGGATTCCTGTCTGTAGAACTGAGTGGAAGAAAACAAAAATAAGAATCAATTATCTGGCTGCTTCAGAGGAAACTACCTGGGGTTCAAATCTCTGTTGTCAAAAAGCTAGGGAGGAATCTAAGGGATGCCTCTTACAGGGAAGGCTATCTCACAAGTCTTATACAAGTTTTATGGACAGACTCACAAGTGGTAAAACATCTTGTATTCTAAGTACGCTAGAAATACTCACCCTTGTTCCAAGTGATCCAAATTGAGCCATTTTAGGAACAAAAACTCTAACTCACTAGAATCTAAACAAGAGGTTTCCCCTCCCCAATTATATAAAAGTTAGAAGTGAGCTGCTACTTTCCAGCTATGAGTGAACCAAGGAAAGGAAAAAATTCAGTCTGAGTCTGCATCCCGTCGGCCCCCAGTTAGCTAAACTCAGCTAAACCTCAAATTCCACAATAGTCTTCTGTGTTTAAATTGTCTTTCACCTAAGTTCTGTTGATACTTTTTGATCATTAATTCTAGAATCATCCTCCAGGAGTGATAAATCATTCCACACTTGAACAACAACTGGTTTTCACATAAGATCATTGGTAAACATCACCTAGAGGAAAGAGCATGACAAGAAGACTGACAGTGAAGTCAGTGAGCCCAGAGTAATGCAAACGTGTAGTTAAGACCCCTGAGGCTGGGACTTGAGCTGTCTCTGGATATTTTGACAGATTATGGAATACACTGCAAAGAAAGACATCAACACAAAAAGGCAATAAAGATGGGCCAAGTTTAGATTTAGGAGACAAAAATTTCTCCTGACCATTACTTTCCATTCCTTTGCTCCATCAGCCCTCCTCCTTCCTATAAGGTATCACACTCCAAAGGACAAGTGAGCCTCTCAAAGAACAGACACTGAAGGTTATTATGATTTAACACTTCATGTTCACAGAACATTTGGTTTACTCCCTCGTTTTATGAGTAACATCAAAGTAACTACTCATTTGTTTTGTAACATGGTCTAGAGGGGGACGCAGCTGAGCAGTCAGAATGCTGGGATTTAATTTGTAGCTCAGCCATCGCTTCTGTGTGAATTCAAGGGAAATGCTTTTCTGTGCCAAACTTTTCTCCACCTGCAAAACTGAGATAACGACTCCTGCCTTGAATGAGACATTAAGAATTAATATCACAATGGACATGTCAACAAAAGCCACTAGTTAAAAGCAGTGTTGTAATAGCTCTGTTTATCATTGATCTAAGTTTTGCAGACAAATTCCTCACACAGCAAAAAGGACCAACCCAGATTTTGAAAATGTCAACTGTTCTCCCCTCCCTAGAGGAATATGACCACTTGGGGGTTTTAGGGTGCTTTTCTTTACCCTTTTAAAATGCTACAGGGCGTGAACGGTGGCGGCAATCAGGCTCGATTCTCCACCCTCTGCACTCAGACGTGTTAAAACGCTGCTAAAGGGACCCAAGCATTTAAATGTTCTGACTCAAGCGTCTTTTAAATTCTTAGAGCTGTCTTTACACGCTGCACTGAACGTTAAATTGATTTTACAGGTATTTTCACAAGATGTGACCCTTACAGGGCCCAAGATGAATCAAAATGCGGAGAGGGCTCTCCGGCGCCCACTTCTCTTCTGTCTGGGCTGCCAAGGATTCCCAAGGGCGAGGGCGGCTTCCAAGCCCGAAGACCGGGGGCTGACAAAATTGACCCTCCCAGCGCTCCTCCTCTCCGCAGCACCGCCCGCTGACCCTCTGAAGCAAACCCGCGTACCAAATGGCAGCCAAAGCTCCCGAGGCAAGTGCCGAGGGTGCTAGGGCAGGTTGGCCCCCCGGCGTCAACACCAGAGACCGCACCCGAGCTCCGGAACCTCTCACTCGGGCCCTGCGCAGGGGCCGGGGGAAGCGAGACCCTGGAGGACCGCGCGGGAGGGCAAGGGGAAGGGAAGGGGCCAAAAAGAATAGGAGAGGTCTGGTAGGAGGGAGAAATGGGCGTGGTCAGTCTCGAGGCGGGAACGCTAGGTCCCGCCCCGCCCCGGGCGCGCTCTTTGCCCCCAACGGTCGAGATCCCTGGCTTGGCGAGGGACGGTATCCAGAAGGCGTCTTTGCTCCAGCTCTTGGGTACCTTCTCCCCTCACTTCAGGGCAGATGTTGAGAAAATGGTGAACATTGTTACTAACATTTTTGAGGGCCTACAATGGAGTCCTGGTGAGGCGCTGTAGGATAAAGCACTGGACTGCAAGGTTTGAACCACAAGGTCAGAGGTTCAAACTCACTAACTGCTCTTTGGAAACCCTACACAGGGTCGCTATGAATCGGAACCGACTCGACGGCACTTAACAACGATGATTCAGACATTGTGCCAAGTGTTTTGCCTTCCTTGCCTCATTTAGTTGTTCCTGCCTCTTATGAGGAAGTCACTATCATACCCAATTTACAGAAGGAAACTAAGGCGCAAAGAAGCTACGTGACTTGTTCAGGGTCACAGCTGGCAAGTGGCAGGCTAGTAGAGCCAGCAATACAACCAGAGCGTGTCCTGTCACCTCAATGAGAGGCACTCCCCTTTTGCCCCTCTGAGCCCTGTGAGTCTTCTTGACTTTTAGGCGCTGCCTGCCCAGCCTCCTGCACATCTCCATCCTCTGCTTCCTGGGTCCACTTCCCCAGTGTGTTCTCCCCTTCATCTTTCTTAGTCTTCTAAGTAGCCCCACCACACTCACACTTTCCCCAAGCAGACTCAAAACTTGTTGAAAGGTGGATTGTTTTTGTTTTTTAAATAAAACTATTTGATGCTAAGTAAGTAGCCGCATCAAGTCTATCAAATCTCTTGTTCCACTGTGAAAAAGCTGATAACTTGAGATGGTAGTGAAGGAATCTAAGGGGTAGGTGCGCTAGGAGCTGGAGTTTCTCACTTTCCTTTAGTACCAGTTAGAGAATTCTGCTAGCAATGGTTAGTAGAATGGTGGGCTCCAGTATAAATTTTTATATGCCTGGTCATCTCAGCAGCGGCCACCTTTCATGCTTAACATTAAAATGCTGTCATTTTCCAAGGCTTTTAAAAATCATTTATGCTTCCTTAGCTCTGTAGTGCAGCATCATTAAATATCAAGCATAATGTCCCTAACAAATGACACTTGGAACAAAACAGCAAGCATGCTTTAATGACTCAACTGATCAGAAATCTATGAAAATTTCATCTCATATTTGTCAAGTTCTCTAATATGGTACTACAAAGCTTTGGCTAGGTAGCTCTAAAGTGCTTGGGGAATAAGGAGGTAAAAGGTGCAGAGGCCTGTCTTCACGTAGGAAGATAAAAAGGATATTGATGGGAAGTCTTGGATTGGATCTTCATATGCAATTATCTATTCCAGCTCTGTCTCTAACAAGCCGGGTGACCTTGGGCAAATCATGAACTGTGGGGAGCGTCAGGTTCCTCATCTGTCAAAAGGAGGAAATAACATATTCCTAGCTTCTTCAATCTCATAGTGTTGATGTAATGATCAAATGAGATAATGGCTGAGAAAGTGCTTTGGAAAGGCTATAAAAGTGAGGTGTTTTAAACCGACATTTATTAAGCACTTATTAATTGCCTTGGGGGGACACAAAGCTCTATATATGACCCAGTCACTGCCCTGAAGAAGTTAATAATCCAGATGAGAAGATAAGACATATGTACATGAAAAGAAACTAATAACGGCAGCAAATAGGTGTCAAAAGAGCAGTTTAGATGATAAATATTGGAGAAACTTGTAAAGAATTCATACTGCAGTAATGAATAGAAAATTTTAATTTTTTTATTTTTTGATACAATAAAATAATTTTTTGACACAATAAAATAATTGTATCATAGTTGGCCCTGAAAGGAGAAAGAAAATTTGGATCATTTAGAATGGTGGAAGCAATTCAGTAAGTAGAAGCTGCATTCTGGGATTCTGGACAAGTGAAGTGAAGGGTTTTAGAAGCCAGTACTGAGTCCCAGTATGGCGCTGCAGGCTGATACCCTCAACTGCAAGATTGGTTGGAAGCACAAGGTCAGTGATTCAAGCTCACCAGACACTCCTTGAGAACCCTATATAGGGTTGCTGTGAGTCATAACTGATGAGGGCACTTAACAATAATGTAAGCCTGGAAAGTTGAGCATATAGACTATGCTGATAGTTAAAAATGCAGCAAAATACTGTAAAAGGGATCTTACAATCAGAGACCATCTGGTGTCCTAGAACAAGAAAGACTTGCAAGAGAAGCACAGGATTCACTTTATCTCACCCCCTTCTTACTCTTTCCCCTTCTGTCTCTCCATTTCTCTTCTGATTATTGAGATTGAATTCACATACAATATTTAAAGTGCACAATTTGATAAACTTTGACATGTGTCGGGGTCCTGGTGTGGTGCTGTAGTTTATAAGCACTGGATTGCTAACTGCAAGGTCTGCAGTTCAAACCTACCAGCCACTCCTCAGAAACCATACACAGGGTTGCTAATGAGTCAGAACCAACTCAAAGGCACTTAACAACAACATACACCCATAAAACCATCACCACAATCAAGATAGTGAACATATGCATTACCCTAAAAAGTTTCGTCATATCCCTTTGTAATCCTTCTTCTTCATCCCACCCTGCCCGAATCAAACACTATTCTGTTTTCTGTTGCTATAGATTAATTTCCATTTCCTAGAACAGTATATAAATGAAGTCAAATACATATATACTTTTTTTGTATAGTGTATTTCACTAAGCATAATTAGAGATACATCTATGTTGTTGCTGTATCCATTTTTTTAAATTTATTTATTGACGGTTGTTGTTGTTAAGTGCCATCGAATTGATTCCGACTCCTAGTGACCTTGTATAGAGTTTCCTGGTGAGCTTGAACGGCAGACTTTGAGGTTCAAACCGACCTTACAGTTCAGCGCATTGACCCGCAGCACCACACCAGGCCTTGTTGTTAAGTGCCATCAAGTTGATTCCGACCCATAGCGACCCTGTATAGGGTTTCCAAGGAGCAGCTGGTGAGC